GAATTTCTAAACAATATTATGGGGAATTAACAATGGTTATTATATTCTATATTGATATCGTCAAAATATTTGTTTAAATTACCAGATAGGGGCATGCAAATTTGATCAAACAATATAAGCACTAACTGTTCCTTTCACTGAACTAATAGAAGGAGCAGTACAATTATCTTAGCTATGTTGTGTGTATATATACATATATTTTCCCTTCCTTCTTTTCTCCTTTCCCCCATCCCAGTTGTTCTTTTCTTTCAAGCAGTTTCATTCCAATTATTCTTTCCTTTAGCAGTTTCTTTCTTTTCCACAATATCTATTGTACCTTTTGGATTTTATTTATTCGTTCAGTTTCTTACACTAACGAGACAATGTGATGTTTACACATGGAAGTCTGATTTATTTCACTTATGAGTATGGTCTCCAGTTGCATTCATTTACCTAAAGAAGTCTCGAGTTTAACTTTTTTAAAAGCTAAATAATACTCAATTGAATAAAAATACCACAACTTTTTTATTCATTCCTCAATTGATGGGCATTTGAATTGTTTCCAAGTTTTACCCATTGCAAATTGTGTTGCTATAAACATGAGTGCACATATATTTCTGTAGTATGATGTTTTCAATTCCTCTGGAAAAAAATACCCAGAAGGAGAATGGCTGGATCAAATGGGATTCTAATCCTTGTTTTTAGAGAAATCTCCACACTGATTACCATAGTAGTTGCAATCTACATTCCCCCCACAGTGAGAAGTGTTCCTTTTTCCAAACAGCCCTGCCAGCATTTGTTATTGGATGATTTTTTGATGTTAGCTCTTCTTTCTGAGATGAAATGAAATCTCAGTGTTTGTTCAATTTTTTTTATTTCTCAAAAGATCAGTGATGAACGTTTTCCCCTATGTTTATTTGCTATTTACATTTCTTCATTTAAGAAGCGTGCATTCATCTCAGAAGCCCATTTATGGATAAATTGCATTTAGATATTTTAGGTTTTATATTCTGTTTTAATTTATTCATCTGTGTTTATGTGAATGTCATACTATTTTGATTAATACAGCTTTGTTGTATAGTTTGAACTTGAAGAGTGTATTGCCTCATGTCGCACTATTTTTTCTCATGAGTGCAGTGGCTATTCAGAGTTTGACAGTTTCATATGAATTTTAGCTTTATTTTTTGTGAATATTATTGTTACTTTGATAGGGATACTAATTTCTGTCTTTTAATTGGTATATTTAGACCATTCAAATGTAATATCATTTTTATATAGTTGGTTAAAAACAACTGCAACGTTTATGTTTTCCACTTGTAGCATCTTTTTATATCTACTTCTTTTTTGTCTTGTTTCTTCTGGCTTTTGTTTGGCAATTTACATGACTTCATTGTCATTTTCTCTTAGTTTATTGACTATATATATATATATATATATTCTTAAATTTGTGTTTACAATAAATTTTTCATATAGACTTTTAACTAAACTGTGCCTGTTTCCTAGTAACAATATCAATTTGCATTCCAGAGATCTCATATCCTCCTTCCCATTCTGATGCTGCAGCCATTCACTTCATTTCGTGTGTTATACTAATAGCACAATATTGTTATTAGCACTTTAAGTAAATCTTTATTGCATAAAAATAAGAGAAGCAAAATATTTAATTTTAAAACTCTATATATTCCTTCCTGATGCTCTTTCTTTTATAGATCCTGAATTTCTTAATGATATCATTTTCTTTCCCTTAACTAATTTTAAAGTTTTTGTGGAAGACCCATTTATTGATGATTAAGACCTTCACTATTTGAGAAAAATATTTATTTTGCCGAAATTTTGAAACATAATTCCATTGCACATAGGACTGTAGACTACAGTGTGTATTTTCTTTTGGGACTTCACATAAGTTTCTTTTTGTTAACATTTCAAAAAGAAAATGTGCTACATTCCTTTTCCTCTATGACTTTCTTATTTTCTTCTGGCTTCTTTAAAAATTTTATCTTTTTTGATTTAATGTAATTTGATTATAGTATGCCTATATTTTTTTCAGTTGGTACATTCTGAGATTCCTATACCCACAATTATATAATGGTGTATATATAATATACTTTGCTATTTTTTCAGTCATTGCTTCAAATATTTCTTTAGATCCTTTCCTCTTCTGATATTCCTATTGCATGTAGAATTACACTTTTCATTAATATTCTATTCCAATTATATTTTCTGGCACTTTCATTATTGATTTTATTCCTTTTATTGCTGTGAAGATTTATAGTGAACTCTCTTCAAGTTAATATCTTTTTCTGAACTGATAATCCCCTCTATGTTATTTTTCAATTTGGTTACAGTGATTTTGATTTTTATCATTTCCCTTTAATACTTTTCATCAATTTCCCTGTTTCTGCATAATTACGTATCTCTTATTTTATGCTATCAACATTTTCACAGAATTCAGACCATGTCTGTGATAGTTATTTTAAAGTCCTGGATAATTACAAAACATGTCATTTGTGAGTATAGCCTGTTGCTTGATTTGCCTTTAGACTCTTTTATCCTGGCTTTTAGCATGTCTTATAACTTTTCTGTGGAAAGTTGGATATGATGTATCACATACTAAGAAATGAAGTAAGTAGCCTGTCTTAGTTACTTGTCTCCTTGCTGAAACAAAATACCCAACACCCACAAGTTAAACAAGGAAAGGTTTACTTAGGTTTACTACCCACCGTTTGTAGAGATTTCAGTCCATAATTAGCTGACCCCTAGTCAGGGTGGCATGGTAGAGGGGCAACAGTTTATGGTGGCAGAAGACAGAAAAAAGAACAAAAGCAAAAGGGAATGCTCTAGGTTCAGCAGCCTCTGAGTACCTCTCTCCCCCACTGACTAATTGGGGTTTTGAGGGGACATCCAGGCCATATTAGAGACCTATTGTTCAAAGTTTATGTTACTATGGATAAGGATAATGCAATGTTAGAGGTTTGCTATAGATGTAAAGCTATCTACTTCAAATTCCTCTAGTGCTCTTGCTTTTGTCTCATGTTATATTTGGTATCTAAAGAAAAAGAGTATTTCTTTTAAAAAGTCTGCTCTCCAGTTACATTATACTGATACCACACCTGATTCTTACTGATGTGGTGGTAGAGTGTGGAAGGAATCTATTTTACAATAGCATAATTAAATTTTATTCTGTAAGTGAGTCTGTAGATCAAGATTACAACCATTGCAAGACAGAGCCACTAGTTTCCACCACTCTCTGTCCCCTTAGGTGTTACAGAAAAAACCAAAGCTACCTGATGTGGAGGGTGTGCTGTTCTGCTTAGGGAAAACCCTGCCATTTTCCCTGAAGGAGTAACCCTCTATTGCAGAGTACACTTGAGGAGTATTTCACAATTTTTGAAGGTTAAACAATATAGGAGGCAGGCATCCGATATGTGAGCCCAACAACTTCTCGCTCACACTAGTTTCTACTCAGTCTCCAACAAGTCATCAAAATTATCATTCAAGTATTAATGCCAGTTTATGATCCCAGTGGTTTCCCTAAGAGAGGAATTGAAGGCAGTGACTTTACTTTTTTCTATCTTTCTGGAGTGACGTTGGCTGTTTTCCCTGAAACCACAGTTTTCTAACAGATCCTACTTTTATTTTGTCTATGATTTTCAATGTACGCAAAAATTTTCTGCTAGTAAAAATTCCAGCGACAACTTCCAATCTATTAACATGTCAGAGTTGTGATGCTAAATATTTCATCAATTTACTAGACAAAGAGATACCTAAATAGCTGGCAGAACATTACTTCTGGGTGTGTCTGTGAAGGTGTTTAAAGAAGTTGACTTACACACTTGGTTCTGTGATTGAGTAAAAAAAAAAAAAAAAAAAAAAAAAAAATCTGCCCACTAACATAAGTAGGCATTATTCAAACCACAGAGAGATGAGCTAAATGGGATGAATTTAATATCTATTTGATCTAGGACAGTGGTGGTAAACCTATGGCACGCAGCTATAGTGGTCTGTGTTATTGATAGTGATAAAAGGTTCACCGTTTTCAATCTAGGAAATCACATTCAGAACTCAGGACAGGATTCCAGATTCAGGTCAGAAATTACAGTCTGCTTCCATGGTTTTCTTTTTTTTTTTTTTTATTTAAGAGGAAAAAGAGAAAAACACAAAACAAACCAAAGCGGCGTAAGGGTACACGCAATACAGAACTACAAAACAAAACAAAACAAAACAAAAAAAATAACAGTAAGAAATTACCTGCTAGTAGATTACACACTATCTTCTTGAAAATAGTTCCTCAAATCACAGTATCAAAGAACACAAGGTGGACATTCAAACAGGGAGACTGCAAACAGCTGTGTTCAATGTTCCAAAAACATTGATAAAGTCAGCTATTTAACACCCCCAAACACACTTGCTGTTATATCCGTTAGAGCTCTTTTTCTTTTTTTTTTTCCCTCTCTTTTTTACAACAAAATTTACACATCTTGGATTTTATTACTCCTTAGTGCTTATTACTTTCTTTGGTGGGGGGCTTCCATGGTTTTCAAAGCTTTGATGTCAGACTTGATTTAGACTGCTGGCTCCTGGTTTTCTTGGTTCTCTAGCTTATATTAAGAGAAAGAGTAATTATATATATATATATATATATATATATATATATATATACACATATATATGTATATACACATTCATATATAAAGAATTTATATATAAATATATGAATGTATATTTATATATAAATGTATATTTATAAAATTTATATTATATACATATATATAAACATATTTATATATGAATACATGCTCATAAATTTATGTTTATATATTACATATTTATACTTTTATTTAATATTAGTTATATATAAATATATTTATGTATTTATATATTTATGTACTTATATATAAATATGTATATATTTGCTATTATATATATTTTAATGGATTATATATGTATAGTTCTATTCTTTGAACAACCTCCATAACTCATGAAAAGCTGAAGTCAGAAGTCTGATTTTTCTTTGAGTTTTTAAATCATCTAATTATGACACCATTTACAAAAAAAATCACATTTTTCCCAAACATGATTACTGATAAGTACTGTCCTAGACCAAATTTCTGTAATATTTTATTGCACTGGATTAAACAGCCAAGTCTTTACTCTCAAAAATGCAAACATCATAGACAGGCGTGCTTTTAACAGGGCTACTACAGTAGAAAACCCTGCTTAGCGGAGTGTGGGGGGTCATACTTGTCCTGGGGTCATTCTCAAGGCTCTTGAAATCTTCACACTTAAAATATAAAATTGACATCATGACTCTTGAGGTTTTTGTTTTGATGTTTTTAAAAGTAGTGAAATATACACCATAATATGTCTCATTCTAATGTTAAAAAATTATGCTGTTACTATATTATTTTGCTTCCAACAGAAGGCTTTTGCTTAGAGATTTCATCAAGAGAACAAAATTAATAGGAAGCATCATTTTCACACATAGAGATGGAAAAATGTAACTTTTTCTGAGGTCTATGAAGGTCTCCTGGATGAGAATATATAAGGCACTATAAAATTCCAACAATGTGCAACACATCCTATGAGCAGATGCTAAACTGAGGTCATTGCAGGAAAATGGATGCTTTGACAATGAACTGAGATTCTCCTATATGCGGTTGCAAGGTATAGCACAGGACTCATATGTAAGAGGTCCTTCCAGCAGGGTAAGTCTTTGATACACTTTGGTGCTAACATAAAAAGGAGCCTTTCCATTACTTCAATGTAAAGTTCATTTCACAAATTATGCAGACACAAGTATCCTACTCCTTAACAATTTGATGTAATAAAACATGTTGTCTTCTACTAAAAATATCAAAATATTATGATTATCTCAATATGAAAAAAAATATATGACTTTGTATTTCTTGGGGCTTGGTGTCAGATTGGGGAATTATGTGAATTGTACCATAGTATCTGGAAGATTTAACTTTCTGAGAAGTTCCTCCTGGGCTTGTTCACTCACAAATATATATCCATCTTGCCAGTATCCTAAAATAATGGAGAGTAAACTAGATTTGTTCATAGGAGCATCAAAACCATATATGGGTACTTCCATTTGTAGGGATAATTTTGACATGTTAGAAAAGATAATCTTTTCTTTGCCATGAATAATCTTAAGAAAATTCTCTCTCAACAATCAAAGGCCTACATTGTTAGATCCTTATAACACAGATGAAATGTGTAACATTTTATGATGAAAAGAAATATAGTTTTGGTCAGTGTTCAAGAGAGACATAAAGAGATATAAACAATTAGTGGACTATCAAATCAAGTTATTATTCTAAGAAATGAATGCAAAATCAAAACATTACTCAAATTCAATCTCTCTTCTCAGTCCTACCACTCCAGGAACATGCAGCCCACATACACATAATACATAAATATACAAACATCTTCTCCAAGGGCTCTGCCCCACTCATTATCTCCTGTCTACTGCCATTGCTCCTTTCCTCTGTCTCTTCCCGCCAACCTAGCAAACATTTTTCAGTTCTACTTGCTTTTCAAAGTAAAGCTCTTTATCCTTTTGTAACACTTTGTCATACCCCCAACAGTTGAAGTCCTGGAAATTTTGTTACTATCAGACAAGCAAATGTATATCAAAACCAGAATAGCAGGCAAAATTTATATAATTTTCCACTTTAACTTCGTTACTTGGAGGCATATGAAGAAAAGTCAGTTTTTAAAAATTTCCTCTCATTTTTTTTCATGTCCATTCACTGTCCTCTACCTAATGTTATGCATCTTGTTTCTAAACTTTTATCTTCCTACAATGGACTGCTAGGGATAAGAGGGAAATGTGGGAGAGGAGACCAGGACAAAACTAAGATCATACATCATAACATTTTTGGACATTAATCTTTAAGTCAATATAATCTAATGCTCAATAGTTTTTTCAATATAACATATTTACAAAAAATAATAAATGTATAAAATACTCTATGATCATGTGATTCTGTTCTTATTAAGCTGAACACATTTAAGTAGTTTTCTCTGCTAGGAAGAACCCCTTTGTAGATAATTCACCATGGGATTCTTCTAAAAGTGACATTTTCTAGAATATGTGTTGAGAATTTGCTTTATGCAATGAGGGTGTCACAGACATAAAAATAATAAATAAAATAATGATAATAATGAAATTAATTGCTAATTTTAAAAGTTACTCTGAAGTGAAAAATATGACTTGTAGGTAGTATAAAAAGGAAAAATATTCCCACATCTTAGCATATAAGGAAGGGGACAGGGCAAGCGGGACTATGGAAGAGTCAATTTCAATCTCATTGGTAGGAAATTGATGATTCAAACAATACAGACCCAAAGGCAATGAAAATGGAGAGGAGAAAGATTTTCTTAAAATACATTTTAAAGAAATTAAATTCAACAGGGTTTCAGTGATTTTAATGATGGGAGCAGGGAGGGTTTGAGCCTAATACTCTATGATTTCTAACACAGGAGGTGATTAAAAGATAACAGTATAAAATTGGCATTCATATCCAGAATCAGGCAGGAGACTCCTAGGAGCAGGATATTTTCATGAATCCGTGCTACCCTGTGAGCAACAGATGAGAAAGCTAAGTAAAAATCCCTCAGTTTCACCTGGAACTTTGTCTGATCTATAGGATACACTTTTTCATGGCATGTGGCTAAGTAGAGTGAATTATACATTATTGCTTATTATTTCAGGAATTACTTCTAATTTCCCTCAAGGATATTTATTTGTAAATAAGTTTTACTGATAAACTTAGTCTCTATTAAAGCTGAGAGAGAACTTGTACCTGATACTGATATAGGAGAACGAATCTCCCAATCACTATATGTCCTGTACGAGTTTGTGTTTCTAAAATCAAAGAATGACTTTTAGGAACAACAGAGGTTAAGAGCAGAAATAATTTATTGAGGGAAAGAAAGCTTCTGTCTGAGAGAGAGACAGAAGAGGTCCCGAGTGGGTTACCAAAGACTTTGTATTTTCCAGGGATTTTTTATAGAGTAAAACCATGAGGTGAGAAGAGTTCAAGGTGGGGAAAACATAGAAACTGTCAAGGTGGGCATAAGGCGGGATAGACAACAGCTAACCAATAAGATCAATTGCTCAGATAAAATCTATTAAATGGGGATGAATAAGGAAGCAAGTCATGTAGCAAGCATGTTTAAAGAGCAGTGTCTTTTCCTGTGGGAAGTTGGAATGGTGACTCCTGGCTTCCTCAGCATGATGGAGAGAGCTATTTAGAATATCAATCCTTAGGATGTGGGTGTATTTGCTTGATCTTTTGTCTTGAGGCCTAGCCCACATCAGGAGATGTCTGTCTCTCCCATAGCAACAAGGTATCTAATCTTCTGCACTGGCTCCTTTGATGGCTTAGTCCTGTCTGACTGACTATAATGTTTTATATTTTGAATCTTATTTACTCATTCAGTTCCTCACAGTAGTGAGACAACTTGATACGCCTGCTTCTATTAAAAAAAAAAAAAAAAAAAAAAAAAAAAAAAAAAAACACTTATAAGTTTGGAACCATGGTGTTCTGTATTTTTACCTAATTCCAATCCTAGTTTTTCATGTTTCATTATGCCTCTTCTCTCCAAAAGACTTTGAAATAATCCTGAAAGACACAAAAATAAAAGTGAACAAATAGAAATACATATGACTGTACTCCCTTGGGCAAGATGACAATATCAGATAGATGAAACTTCCATAAATACACTTTTTCCCCCTGAAACTAAACAGAATTCAACTGTGGAAAGAGTAAGAATACTCTGATGAAGGATAACCTTTAAAAATAGGAAAATAAAGTTAGCCTTAGAAGCAAATATAAAACTTTTATTATTAAAACAATGCAATGAATGCTTGAAATTGCTCAGGCAACTGAGTTAGTTAGAAATATTATAGGCAATCAGACAGAGCTGAGCCCTCAAAGGAGCCAGAGAAGAATTTCAGATAACTTGCAGCCTTGGAGGAGACAATCACCTCCTGCTGTGGGCCAGATCTCAAGACAAAGGCAAAGCAAATGCAACCACATCCTAAGGATCCACAGTCCAAATAGTCCTCTATTACCCTGAGGAAGTCAGGAGTCAGCATCCCACCCTCTACAGAAAGGTCACTGCTGTTAAGCACGGCCCCTTACTATGTGACTCACTTTCCCATTGCTCCTGAAGTTGGTCAATTTTACCTGAGCAATTAATTTTATTGGTGGACCACAGTTCTGTCCCACCTTATGCCCACCTTGGGAGTTCCCATTTTTCCCCACTTTGGATCCATCTAACCTAATGTTTTACTCTATAAAAGTCCCTAGAAAAGATAGAGTCTTTGGCAACCTGCTAGGGACCCTTTCTGTCTCTCAGATAGAAGCTTTCTTTCTCTCAATAAATATATTCCACTGTTAACCTCTGTTTTTCCTAAATTCATCGATTTTAGAGAACACAAACATGTACAGGTCAGGAGTTTCATTCCCCCATATCAAAATGACAAGTGATATAAAAAGGGAAACTATTATAGTGACCTTAATACACCATTACTTGACCATGTATACTTAGTTGTGAATATACTTAGACAAAATTTTTGAAAAATAATTACATAGTTTGACAATTCATTTGAATGTAACAGTAGCATAGATGTTATAAATATATATATATATATAGTCACCATATAATGAGTATATATATATATATATTGTATATATAATATATATATATATGTGTGTGTGTGTGTACACACATATGGTCATATTCTAGGAAATATAGGAGACAGACTAGCACTTAAATGTTGCCATCATTATTCAGTTAGCAAAATATAAAATATGTCTTTTTAAGAAATTTCAAGAAAGAAAGAAATAGGTGAAAACATAAAGATTTTTTTTAAAATTCAGAAACATCAATAAACAAAAAAGAATTTCACTTATTTGGATGGTGATTTAAGGAAATTAATTGCAAAGAATTTCATATAAAATTATCTACACTTGAATGCTCACTATAAATTTGGAATTCTGGTTTTTAAGGGGTTTTATATTTTAGAAGCACTTATCCCAGCACTCTGGGAGGCTAAAGAAAGTTCACAAGTTCAAGTCCAGCGTGGGCAATTTGATGACTGAGGAAGAACCCATCTCAAAATAAATAAATAAAAAGATTGATGTGGAGCTTACTGCAAAGGCCCCAGATTCAATCCCCAGTAATGACAAAAAAAATTTTTTTAAATGGAGTTTAAGTTAAACATGAAGATAAAATATGATTTGTCTTGAATTAGTAATTTGAAGCTGTGTGATTAATATTTAAATGTTCATTGCATTCTCTTCATTTTAATTTGAATTTTTTCATATTGAAACCTGAGAATTTTGTCTTATTCCCTCCTTCTTGTTTCATCAACCAGATTCTCATGTTTTGCTCTTAAAATATTAACGTGGTACTGGTTTTACCAATCTGTACTTTAACCGCTAGAATTAACCTGCAGGTTCATTCTCTTAAACTCTTTAAACAACTTTCTACAAGTAGCTAATCCACTCAAACCTTGTAAGTGGTTTTCTGCTACCTCAGAGTAAACCATTTAAAGTTTTTCAAAATAAATCATTCTCAATCTGACACCAAATGTACCTTACCACATGTTCTGACCTATCTCTCTGACCTATCTCTCTGAAAATCATAGAATTTCAATTCTTGCTCTCACAGTAACCTCTGTCTGAGTAGTTGTCTTTATGTTTATCCTAAATTATTCTTTCTATAAATACTAGTGCAAATTTTACCTCCTCCATGAAAGTCATAAAGACTTTGCAGTCTGTGAACAACTCTTTCTTCAAACTGCAGAAGCAATGACTTTCATAACAGGCATTTTATTGTAGACTATGCTACATGACTAATGTTATTTACTGATATATTCTCCCTGTTTAATGTCAGAGACTATGTCAGATTTCTCTGCACTCAAACATCTACTAACAGATAATTGTTCAGTAAATGTTTGTTGATGTTGTCATCGCTGCCATTATTATTACTGGCACTAGTAATGGAGATGAAAATGATAAGGAAGTTCATTTGGCAACAGTCTTCAGGATTTTAAAATTTCTTTATTAAAGTGATCTTGATTTTAGTGATTCATGGTGGAATTAGAATGTAGTGACTAATAAATCTGAAAATTCAACTTTCCTTTGTTCCTTAGAAATCACCCATATATCCCAATAATGTAAACTACATTGGCAAGATGACTTAAAACGTACAACAGACAAGAAACCAAAAAAAAATTCTCTATTCAAAATTTAAGATTGACTTTATACTGCTTACAGAAACAATTGCAAATGTCTTCATTTAACATTAGGAGTTTACAACCTGATCTAAAATCTAGAGTCAAATTTTATCATTATTATTTCTCTGTATATACACTCAGCTATATTTAAAACTGTCAAATTTTACATAAATATCTTTACAATCATCTTTCTATCTCTATCAAGTTTCCTTATTTTAACTCTTCACAGACTCATGGGTTGTTCTGAACTTTGAAAATGAACCTCTTGGCTTCCATATTTTATCTTTTGCTGAAGCTCAAGAAGGATTTATTCCACATAGAAATTGTGACTATCTTACATGTAAAGGCTAAGTGCCTTGATCTGGCAGTCTGGACTCTTTAGAAGGGATAAGGTGTGAAACCACAAACAATATACACCCTGTTCCCATTGTCAGATTTTGACTAAGATGAAAAGAGATAAATTTTTAGGGAAGAAATCTAGGGAGACATAGATTGCAAACCAGAGATGTGGGGAGACGTTACCCAAGATAAAGTTTAAGATTCTCAGCATAGAAAGAGCATTGAAATGAGAATCCAGTCATCTGTTTCTGTTCATACCCATTTCATTAAATATTACTTTTAGAAAAGTTGATGGTAGAATCTCTTCATGTATGTTATAATAACCCTTTATATTATTATATACTGCAAATATTTTTTCTCATATGCCATGTGCCTTTATTTTTAAACATTTAATTCCATCATATTTTGAATTTTTCATCTGCCTTTCATAGGTGTATTTCTTATTTTTCTGGATTTCCCCCACTGACATTATTATAAGCATTCAGATATATTCTCTTTTCTCATTGTATACTTGCCATTATAACATTTAACCTTCTAATTCATTTAGTTTTTTAAAAACCTTTTACATAAAACACCAGGGAAGCTAAATGAACTAACACCTGTAAATAAGGAAGGGAAGTGGGGCTCAAGTGACAGGAGAATGGGGTAAAAAAAGAAGCAAGATATATCATGTACAGATACAAATTCCCTATGATGAACATTATTTTTATGTAGATATAAAACATACCAATAAATTTGAAAATAATAAACATTTTTGCCTGTGTGGTTACCACTTATTAAACAATCCCAAAAGTAGTATTTATTGTGATGTGCTATGAGCTGGATATTCTGCCAAATAGTTTATATTTATTGTCTTCTGTTCGTTTTCAAAAATTAGCAGTATGGGTACCATTTTACTTCAGAATTTGTCAATATGGGAACCCAAGAACACTATAATGTTTTACTCAAATAATAAAAGTATGATGATTAACAACTTAGACCAGCACTCAGCAGTACATGCATATGTACAGTAATTATAAGATGATTAATGGACTGGCAGTTCTTTTGTCTATACTTTTATTAATTGATTTATTTGACCAAATTATTTTTAAATCATAGATAATGCTTTCTACTTTTACTCGCAAAATTATTTTCCTTCATTTTCTGTTCAGCTTCCTTCTCACACTATCTTATCTCCTGTGCCCAATATTATCACAAAGTTTATCTAACAATATTGTCCGTATAATAAAATTTGAAAAAATGCATGTGTGTGACAACTTTTGCCTTATAATACCATGGAAATGGTCAGTTTCTAAATGCTGCCTGGTTTTTTAATGTATTATATAGCTTTATTATATCATTTCTATGATATCAATTACTTTAATTGGCTTTTTTTTCTCAATCTAGAATTGGGCTACACTTCATTGTATGTAAAAGAAAAAATGCTCCCCACCTTTCCTGCTTGAGCAGAGCTGAATTACTCAGAATTGCTACCTGTTCTTTGATAGACTCCTTTATCTCTCCTTAATATACTTATGTTAGATGAAACTATCAGTGAGTTATTGAGACACATTCCCTGTTCTTACATTGCAAACTAAGACTGAATTGAGCACTTAAGAAAAGTACATTAACTCTTCTAGGCCACCAGGGTATCATTCAAGGACCCCAAGTAACATTTTCTTTAAATCAGGTCATCATGATGTCATTTAATCATTTGAGAGCAGTGAAATAGATATTTATGAGTGGGCTTCCTGATATTCTGAAAGAATTAGTGGAGGTATCCCAAATCTATGCCCCATTCCAAAACCTAATACGATGAACTCCCAGTACGCCAGTGATTTCCCAATTCTAACTGTAATTCTCAGAGAGAATGTGTTACATTTGACAAATGAAGAAATCAGTTGAAATTCCACCACCTAGCTCAACCAGAATTACTTGTTGAGGAAGTAGTCTTGTTCTTTTTTTATTCCATCTCTGTTTTTAATGCGCAACTATAGACTAGCTCAGGACCTACTCCCTGGTTATCTATTTCTGCTGTATTATATCCATCTAAGAGAAATTGTGGCTAATTGTAGAAACAGAATTGGAAGTTTTCTTTAGAAAAATGGAGGCTGCGAGGTACAGCTCTTCTTACACTATCTCATCTACTAAGAATTTATTCTACTTTTAAAGGTCTTCACAAGTTTTCCCTAAAACGGAAAAGTTTTTATAGTATAATTCTCTTTTGTGTATCTTATAGAATATGGTAGGATTTTGGAATAATGTATGTTCTCTACCACTAAGTAATTTTTTTTTCTGAATAAGCCACTAAAAGCATTTAATCTTTCAAAATCTGTAGAATTATCAAATATAGTATTTTTGTACCCCTTAGCACATCTACACCTACAGAGATGTGTGGAAAACTGACTGTTGATATTGTAACTTTCTATGACACCTTACAGAGGTGAATATTCTAGAAACTGAAAAAATACATGAAAGAAATATTTTACTGCATTAATATATTTTTTCTATTTAAAAACCTCCCAAATTTCCATTTACATCTTATTATCTGCCTACTTTTAACTGACTCAAGTTCCCAGGCATTCATTTATTTATCAGTTCTGTACAGAACTTTATATAATATGAGGAATGAGATTATACCTTGTGATGTCATGTTGCTGTATTTAACGGATGCTTCAAATTGTAGTCATTTGCACATCACGGCTCAAAATTTCCATAAATCCAAAAGAAGATAATGGAACTGGAAAGAAACAATCAATATTTTAAATTAGGGCGAAAATCTTGTCCAGTACTATGAGGAAAACCAAATTCAGGTTTCATTTGCTTAATGTTCATAGGTTTCTAGAACATTTTCTTATTAGACTTCTATATATAAAAACACAGTACTTACTGTTACATTTCCCATCTTCATCTGCAAGTAGGATAGTGTCCTTTAGGCTTTAAACTCCATTCAAAATGCCATGCTAACTATAAAAATGGGTTTGTTTGCACTTATATACTTAGCTCCTTATTCGGGCCATTGTGTGTTTTACACATCTCATAACCAAGATCTATATTCTGTATGCTTGCAGCAGTCTTATGTGGGTTTGTCTCTGAGCCAGATTTATCTTTGTATTTCCCATTATAGCCTGAAAGAACTGTATTAAGGAAGCCTTTCTTTTCAGTTCCTGCTTGTGATTGCTAACATATCAAATTTATTCCTTCATAATCCAGATCATTTTCCAGCAGCTTTGAGGCCTGCATGTAGTAGCTGGTTAGAGAGCTCAAAGTAACCCTACACTGACAGACCAAAAAGCCCTTCGACTGTCACTTTATGTCATTAACAATTTTCTAAAGCCATTACAGATGGGATGGACTGATTAGAACTGAGGAGGGAGGATCTTTTTCCCAGCCAGAAATATCCCCTGAGACTTTCATGCCGTGTGAAGTTTCTGGTGATTAATGGGAGAAAAATAAGGACGCCTGTCCCGCAGTTGCCATTGACTTTATTTGAAAAAGAGCTTATTTATATTTGGAGGTCTCCTTGGATAACTAAACATTAACTGGCTAATGTAAAATATAGACAGAGGAACAGATTTCAAATGAGAGGATACACATCAGATTTTGATCCTGAGGTTGGACTTTTCTCTCCCTATTTTAGTATAGCTTTTATAATTTCATGTCAGTGCTGTTGCAAGATGAAACTGTTTATCTTCTCCTGGCCTTTTTCCCTCCACTTCTGCTGTTTTATTTCTGTAAATGAAAGCTACAGCTGGAATATTGTTTTACTGCAAATCTCACACCAGCACTGTCAGTTGGGATGTGACACCCGAGATTCTTATCTGGAGGTTGGGTTGGAATTATTAAACATTCTCACATTGTGCAAAGTGTTGAGGATGAACAGCAGTACACTGAGGTGCATCCAACACTTCTGTCTTTCCCACCTGATCCTTGAAATATGACTCCTTTAAAGGGCTAATGTTCACTTTCTATAGCTTTATAGAGAGAAGTGACAGTACTCAAGATGTAACATGAACTGAAAATTATAGCAACTTCCCACCTCTCCACCTTAATGCACGCTTTCAAAAGCAATCTTAATGGTAGGCCTCATTTGAAAAGAAAACAGTTGACCATTTGTGATTTAGAACAATGGAAGGTTTATGAAGAAAAAATACTGATAGTCTAAATATTGAGAAATATTTACATTTTTTTACTTCTTTTTTTCAGAATAACCTTTTCTATTGTGATACCAAAACACTATCAAGTTAATGTAGAATGGAGATTTTTGTTTTTCATTTATCAAAATGATTAAAACTGCAAAACATGTGTTTTCCTACATTGTCACAGGTACCACAAATTTCTATGCATATATATAGAATTTTCATCTTAAAAGCATTCCGTAAATTTTCATCGCTGTGACACATTTTAAAGACTGGAAAGAAGTGTTGCCTACAGTATAAAAGTAAGAGATTGAGGAAGTGAGATTAAGTGAGCTGTCCAGGAGCTGTCTAAGGATCCTGAATTTCAATTTTGAAAGAACATTAAATCCAATTCTCAGAGTTTTAAGTGAAAACACATTTAAATTACTGAGTCTCAGATGCTCTATGTAAAGTGCACGTGCGCTCTCTAGAGAGATAAGTCCAAAATCGGATAGGAAGAATCTGAGCTGTAGGATGAGCTGTAGGAGTCATACCGAACTTTCTAGAAAGCAAAAATGTACTACCCATATATTTTGGGGTTTGAATAGAAATGTTTAAAGTGATACATCAAATAGTTCTGAGTGGTCACAAAGCAACCAAATTCATTTGTTTATAGCAAACAAAACTGAGATTTCAAGTAAAATACAGGATAACTTGTTATATCTGAACATAAAAAAAAAGTAGCTCACCTTTTTAAATATGAGCCCAATATAACATCATTGTAAATATATTTATACGCAATTGGCATACTACATTTTTATTTGCTGAATGTAACAAATGTAATTGAGACCCAATTCAAACAAGTTTGACATAAGTTAGAATAACTTCCTTAAACAGGCAAAAGTTCAACCATGTACCTAGTACAGGGACAGCTATAAGCAACAGTGCAAACACCTTCAGCATTCTGTTCTTTTAGAGTGTCATGTGTCAGCTTTATGGTCTTTATTTTACACCCTAATGGAGAACATGACTGCAGTTTTCCAGGTTCTTGAAAATTTGCTGCTAGAAAGAGAGGAGCTTAATGTATTCTCTATTCCCACAATAAAATTACCAATGAAGAGCTACAATTTTGTATCCCTGGCCAGGTGCCAGCATCTGGAATAGTCCACCACAGCCATCATAAAGTATGTGTAAAAATAAAATATCTTCCACAGAAATTAAATGAGCAGAGTAAAATTGAGGATCAGGGGACAAGAATAAAATTTAAAAGACGGAGCAAGTTATTCTCAGATAAAATGTGGTTTTAGATAGATAAGTAATAGACAAGAAACAAATATATATTCCAAGATAAGGCAGTCCAAGCAAAGTAGGGTTTTTACTGAAAAAAAAACAACACTTTTTAAAAATCACATTGAGTAGAACTTCCAGGCATCATAGAAGACATGGACACTGGGCAGAAAGACCATAAGGGCCCATTCTCTGTAAATCTAGTTTTTCTATTTTGATTCTTCTCGATTTATGCAGACAGTTCTGAGTATGTCTGGCCCACGCAGTCACAGGTAGACAGCAATGCATAGCATATAGTTGTTGGAAAACTACACGCTCATAGAAAGCATGCCTGACAACAAGACACATGTTTGAGAAAGTTCAGGGAAGGGAGTCCAGTTTTCTGAGTAAAAGTGTCTATTACAGTCTAGTAATTTACAATAAAAATGCTATTACTACTTGTTTTATTTATTTCTGAGGCCCAAGGGAAGGTATATATCCTCATGTCATATTACATCCATTCCTAAGTTAACACTGCTTCTGGGGTTCTCTGAGTCTTAAGAGAAACAAACAGCTTGCTCCTATTGATCCACAGCTCCTTACTGGTCTGTAGACCATGGAAGGACACAATCTGAGTGGTCACAATGTGCATTTCATTAACGAGGGCTCTGTTCACATGCAGACAAAATAATTTTGAGCTAATTTCCTAAAATTTTACCTTAAAAAGAATATTCCAAGATGTCTTTGTCATTCATCCTTATAAATGATGAAAGATTTGTTGCATGAGAAGTTTATCTCTCTGACTTGAATAAATATAGGCAAAGATTCAATATGAAATTTGAAGAGGTAATGGTGGTAGTTACAGGAATATGAAAATCTTCAAAGCTTCGTTTTCTTGGCATGACCGCGACAACAGCATCTGTTCTTGTCTCTTTGATTATTATTATTCTTGAGTAAGACTAGGAAGTTGATAGACCACATGAACTTTCTATGACCTGTTTAAAAGACCCAAACAATTAGCAAATGGTTATTCAATCGCTTCTAATGGTAGATTAATGCTAGATGAGGAGAACATAAGGACTTGTGATTTATTTTGTGTAACTTTCCATGTGTAATTTTTCTTAAAATGCTTGGCACAGAGCAGGGAAAGATGATGGGCTGAAGCACGCTCTGTCACAGGATATAGAAATGATGCACCGCTAACCTACACTGTCTCCACTTCTGTAGCTTCAATCACTAGAAAGTCTTTACCTTGGACTCAGTGAGACTGATCCTGTCAGCTCTATCACTTTGTGTTTGGACCAATCAATGATAAATGATGATGTTGGATAAATCTTAGGAATCAGCATGAGCATTTAGAAATATATAGATAGAATGAGAAAAATAACAAATGAGATTCTGAGGTAAACCTGTGTGTGATGTGTGTGTGGAGAAATTGGAGACCAGCGAGGAATCTGATGCTTAGTCTTTTAGGCAGAAAAAAAAAAAAAAAAAAACCTCAGAGAAAATGAGACTGAAAGAGAGTTACAGAATAGATGAGGAGAGATAATTCTAAGAAGAGAGAAACTTACCATATTAAATGGTGCAGAAATGATACTGGAAAACATCCTGGAATTTGTTAAGATAGAAGTCAGCAGTAACAACACCAAGAGCAGCTTCAGTGGAGTGGCGGGGACAGAAACCAGAACACAGGACATCAAAGTTAGAAAACTTAGAAAAAACAGCTTAAATCGCCCTTTGGAAAATCTCACCTATGGAATGTCCAAATATAAACAATTTAGCATGTATTTATAAGAACCAAAAGCTATTAGATTAAGAATTTTTTATTGTAAAAAGTTGCCAATATTCTTAAAAGGAAAACTGCATACAAGTGTTCTGTCTCTCCTCTGCCTTTTTTCCCTCTGTATCTCCCTTCGTCTCTTTCACTCTCCCTCTTTCCCTGTCTCATAGTAGTATTATTTATTTTTCAGTCACTTCTAAAGCACCTTCTAAAAGTCAACCTAAGGGAAAAAAATAAATTATGTATCCAGATTTTTTTTTCCAACAGTCAGTTACTGAAAACTTTAAAATTTTATCACATTGCAGAAGTAGAAAACAAATTACCAAGTTTGAGCTTAAGTTATATGGATCTTAGTAAAATAATCTGTCATGAATATGCTCTGTAATTTCCAAATGAAAGGAATTTTATATTATTTTGCTGTTGTTCTGAAACATTTAGCATTCCCCATTTAGTCTATTTTTTTAAATACTTATCAGAAGTAAATCACATTTGCTTTGTACTCATCCTATCAGAGACCCTTTCCAAATTACTCATGAAGGAGGATTTGGCCAATTAATTCATACTGAAAAATGATGAAAAATGAAGCCTAATGTGTTAGTTCCTCCAAGATGGCTACACATCTGAGACCTGAGGTCTGGGGATGAACTGCAAATTAAAGAATTTTAATCATATGGGAGACTGAACTATTAATGATAGTGATAGTTAAAGCTAAGACTTTTCTTATCAGAATATCACAAATAGATCTGATTTGACCTAAATAAAGTCAACACGAAAAAATCCAATTGAAGTAATATGCATCCTCAAGAAATGGAACTCTCTGATGTAAATCCCAAATTAATTTTTTACTGATATTTTAGAAATTATTTACAATGAGATATTCACAAGATTTCCATCTAAACATAGGTATGTAGTTTAAGATTACAAAGAAATCCGTGCAACAGTCTGGCACTTTAATGCTGCACCGTTGTGTGGCTATCTTCTAGAAACTCATGAGGACATTTCAGGAAAATGACAGAAACGTATGCATTAAAACTCTTCAATATTGATCAGGTTGTAACATCTAATTAACTTTTTAAGGATATTATTTCATTTAGATGAATGGCAGGCCTTGACTGGCAACCACAAGACAGCCTCATGAATGTGATTTCAATTTACCTCTGTCAGATACAGACTTTGCATTACAGTATTCTGCTGGCTTCAAAAGTTAAGTACTATGAGAACCTAAGTACCATCAGTACTTAAGTAGTACTTCACCTTGAGTCTTACACTCATACAGTGTGCAGATGATTCTGTTCTAATAGCAACATCTGAGTAGGAGTTTATTTGAACTCTCCAAATGTGGGGAGTACTCTGATTCTCATGCTTCTAGCTATAGATTAACTATATAAAATGTAGTTTGAATTTTTTTACAAACTAGTTTTCATAATTATTATTTAATGGAGCAAAACTTATATATCTCCCAATATCTTTTTGCTTTGATTCATATTTATGTATGTTGAAATATCCTTGAGTTACAATATGTATTAAAATAACCATTAAAAAGATGTGACATATAGTTAAAAACAATCTCAGTATTGAGATGTCCCACAAAGAATTTATGAAATATTTACTCTGATTAAAATGTTTTCAAATAACTAGGGTTTAAATTATTGATTTAGTATGAACAGCTATTTTGAAGAAAATGAGACATTATAGTAGCCAGTGTTGATTTAATATCATCTTGTTTTGAAGTCCTATCATACATTTGTTCTTGTGTTTCCATTGGTTCTAATGTGTTGTATTTATTGGATTTTATCATGTGTGATTGCATAAACAAATTTTTATGGACAATGGGATAATATAGTAACCATTGTTTGTTTTCTGTTATTTTGTTCTGAATGCCCTGTAATACGTTCATTCTCTTTAACAGTTTTATACTATTTTGTTATGTTTGATACTATTGTGTATGAAGGTATGCTCAACTATTTCAAGGAAAGAGACATTGTGGAAGCTACTGTTATGTCAGGTTGTCTTGTGGTGAAATACTGTGTTGCTTAAATTGCTCTGTTCTGATGTACTTTATTATGTCCTCTTTTATCTTAATCTCTTTAAAATAAAAAAAAATTAAAATAAATTATTTATTTAATTAATGGTGGCAACATGTATAATTGAAGATTTTTTGTTTTTGCGGTGAAAAGTTTGCTGTTCTATTACTTTGTAATTAAAACATATCAATCATTTTCTGTTTGTGATCTTCAAAAACTTATAGTAAGATTGAAATTTGTGGTTTCTCTCTTTAAACGTTTGTGGCCGGGATATAACTCAGCGGAACAGCGCCTGCTTGACAAGCGCAAAGTCCTGAGTTCAATTCCAAGGCTATACAATTGCTTTACAACTTAGATTTGTCCTTTTAACTTTTACCAAAAGCCGATTTCCCCCTGCAGCTCCTATCAATTATATATTTACGAGGGGAAAATATTGTTAATATCTGCCTACTATTTAAGGAATAAACACTTAAGATGCATGTGTTTTTAGTGCGCCTATTTCCAGGGCCTTCTGGGAAATATGCATAATTCAACTTTAGTCTATATCAGTCTCTGTGTCTATCCATCTATCTTAGAAATGCAACTACACAGAGGATATTTATTAGCATGCATGCTACTGTTTTTCCAGGACCCATCTAATTTAGAAAACAATGAGCCTTTTTTTCTCTCTGTAATCTTGTTCTCATAACTAGGAAATGTATTTCTTCCATTCCCTCTTTTTTTTTTTTTTTTTTTTTTTTTTGTCTTTTTTTGAGACGGGATCTCACTATACAGTTCAGGCTGACCTTGAGCTCTCTTTGCAGCCCAGGCTGGTCTTGAACTTACAAATATTCTCTTGCCTCAGCCTCCTGAGTGGTGGGATTACAGGAATGTGCCACCATGCCAGCTTTACCATTCAACCTTCTAATTCTTTTCCATGTTCTCAACTGCTTGTTCTAGAGACTGAACAGTAGAGGAAGCCACATGTTGAATCTACAGAAATTACTCAAAATATGATAAAGAGGAAAATAAAAGCTAAATAATACGAAATAGGAAGATAGATTTCTTGTAAAAGGGAAGACGTTCAAGGGGTGGAAAGAGCAAAGGAAGTGAGGTTAAGGTTACAAAACAACAAAAAAGGAGAAGAAGAGGAGGAAGGAGAAAAAGGGGAAGGAGAGGAGCAGACAAAGAAGAGGAAGAAGACGAAACATCTAGGATGTGTGACATACATGGAACTCTCCAACATGCACTGCAAACGTACAAATAAAAAAATGAAAATTAAAGAAAGTTGACCTTTTTAAGTGAGGCACAGAATTTTCACTACAAGTTTAGAAATGTCACACTGTTGTGACACAAAGTACTAAAAAAGCTGTTTTGTCGAATATTCTTATTTAAAGGATATTACCATTTCACAGTACTTCATGTATTCTTACTCACAGGCAAAACATCTGGACCCTTACTGATAGATTTGGGCAAACAAGTAAAAGAATTTTATGCACATTAGCAAAGTACAGTTACACTCACGTGCTTGTAACATAAAGTGTGTCTCAAAAGTTATCCACTGCATGCTTGCTAATAGTGTAAAAATATGTCACAATTCAACTTATCCATAAAATAAGAATTGTGTTTATCTCACTTATTAGAGGATTCTATGAGATGACAGTGCTAAAATAACATGCCTGCTTCAAAGCAGGTTTCAATGGACTTAGTATTTAATATGTGATTAATATTAATATATTCTTTATTTACATCACTTGGGAAAATTCAACTACATTTATATTATTCTTTTGCCATGATCCTTAACCCATTCAGCAAATCTACAAAATTTCTCAGACAAACCTTGAGGTAGTAATAGTTTCTTTTTCTTATGCCCCCAGAAATCAACACTTAGGAGTCATTCTTTAGAGTTGTATTTTACACAAATGTATGCTGCTAACTCCACTCATTGGCTGTGACAGAAGTACCTCTTAAATCATTATAGCAAGTCCATCTGTGCTTCAGTTGCACATAGCAAATATCTATTGAATTTTCACTATGTTCAAAGAAGGAGTGGAATATAACGCTTATCCTGTAGAATTTATGAACTGCATTTTATGTATGTTATTCACCTATCCACTTAGTCAAAGGTAGTCAGCAAATGTTGAAATGGCTGTTTTTTTTATGTGAAAACTGACTTGAAGTCCAGAATAACTTGAATTTTTGGTAGCCTTAAGAGAAATATAGTCCACCATTTTGAACACTGAAAGTCCTCGCCATCGTATTTATAGGTAAAGGAGCCAGAACATTGATGGTCAAGAGATCATATCATTACTAATACAGGAAAAAGTAGAATTCACTGTTCCTGTAATGTTTAATCAAGATCTCCACGGATAGTAAATTATGGGCAATTTAAAGCAAAAGAAGTATTAGTGATTAGTGGAGCAATTTGGAGATGGATACTCCAGTTAATAAAGAAGAGACAGAATCAATTTTTGTGTACTATTTGTTATACTCTACAAACGGTATAGTTTGTGTGAAACAATGATTAAAAAATAGAAATAGTAACCACCAATGGATATATTTTCTGTTCAAATTTACTGACAAAAAACTAGTGCAGATGGCACCCCAAATAAGAGACTGGCATAGACCAGTATCTTCTCTGTGAAAATGACTAATGCATCACTGCACTTGTGCCAGAGCTACGCGAGGAGCCTGCCAAAAATGATCATATCATTATCAGCTAGTGTTCCCAATTGTTCACTGTTTGTGTCATATATGGCTCCTCTGCAATGCAGAACTCCTACCTAAAGAAACCCTCCTAAAATTATAAAACATGAACTTTTGCATGTTTTTTAAATGTTTTAAGAAAACCACATTTATTCTACAGTAAACA